AATTCAAATATATTTGGGAGACACCTATGAAGTAGGGCGTGGTGGAGAGGAAAATAGAAAAAGGAATGATAATGAACAGTTAAATAACGTAATATTTATGGATGAAATGAACCTTTTCAGGAATGGGGGTTTTGAGATTACATATGTACTTCTAACAAAGTAGGTATGGTAGGGGGGTGTTTTGGACAATGCGTAGTTGTCGGGTCGAAAGCTTCAAATGGCGTCTGATTAAGTCATGCTTCGAGCGTGGTTTTGCGCTGGGAGTCTTAGGTGACGTCTGACCGGTTCATGATCCAGGAGGAAGTCCGAGATGGCATCCTGGCAGGTCATGATCCAGGCGACTATGCCTAAAGAGTTAACCGAAAGGTGCAGGTTGCTTGTCTAAGATTTGGACGGCTTCTATAATCGCCTGACCTGGAGGAGGAATCATGGCAAATTTATCAGCGCGAGGTTAGTACCTATGGCCCTTTGAGAGGATAGTCGATTTTCGTCTCCATTGTGCTATATTTCTCCCAGGCAAAATGAGCCACACAGGTAAATGTTGAAAATCGAACTATACCTTGCGGGTCTGGACCACTACGCTATATTCTCTGTTGGCTGTTGGATTTCTTTGAGATTCGCGTTGACTCATTTTTTATGTATATTTTTAAGTTTTCCGATTATCTTGCTCATTGATAGTGATAGTGCAATAAGGACAATAAAATCTTATTTAAAAAAAAATTATTGATATTTATAATTCTTTAATGTGCAATAGTTGAATACTTCTAGAATTTCATGGGAAAGCCTTTATAAATGGGGAAGAACAGAAAAATTTGTAGCTTATCTCTTATGTTTTTTTTTTACTGAGCTCCCTCTCTTTTCTCTCGTTAGCAATCATGGAGAGCGTTTACCCTTCCATGTTAGCCAAGTTTGGCTAGGGTGACATAAAAATGGTTTTCAAGTTAGCAAACAGAGGACAAAGTTTTCCTTCAACAGTAAGCGATCTGAAAAGCTTCCCGTGGCTGAGGCAAAGCTCCCTGACCCCGAGAGATGAAGTGGGTTGTCATACTCTCTTTCAGACCGCCATTCAAAGAGGTATCAAGTGAAGGAGGGTGGATTTCCAATGAAGAAACGTCAGATGACAAGGGGTAGCCTGTTCGAAGGATAAGTTGGCAGAGCCATTGCTTTCTGCTTGTTATCCTTTTATGCTGACCGCGGGGGGTGCAGATGATGGAACTTGCAGCTATAGTGGTATTGTTGGAGGATTTAGGGGTAGTTGTTCAAAAGCTTGCTCATGATCCTCTCCCGGTTGATGCCTCTGTGACCGTCGCCCCTCCTCTATAGACGAAGTAGGAGGTCGGGGGAGGAGTTTGCTCCTCCACTACTTTTGTTCTGCATAGGATGATGGGTCCTTACTCTGGCAAGGGGATGAACACTTCATCACCCATAGAGAGCGGCGATGCTGGTGTTCCGGCGGATCTGAGATCTATTGAGGGTTTTAGGTATTTGAGAGGATCATCTGAGGGCAGCACGACATGTCCGGAAGGCAACTCAGTTGGAGTGATCGACGTGTCGGGGCTATTTGGCTCTAC